ATTTTTTTAAAAAAAAATTCAGCACAACAGGATCACGAGACATTTTGAAGCCTTGCATTTCTGCAGCTGGAGTGACTGAAAGGATGAAAGGTATGTACTAAGACAGTGATGGTAAATCTGTGACACACATGTCAAAGGTGACACGCCATGATGTTTTGGCTGACATGCCAGTGTTCACCAACATTCAACAACTATTCTCAAAAGCACGTCCAGTTTTTGTGTGATTTTCGGAGGCTGAGGATGCCATGCAAGAATGCCATTGCACAGTCTGTGAAGTCTCCAAACATCACACAAATGTGGTGCATCTTCATCTTCATCATCATTCTAGCCATTGTCTATTCACTGCAGGATGAAGGCCTCTTCCGCATATTTCCAAGCAATAGAGTATTGAGCTTTCTTTTGCCAATTGGGCCCACAATATTGGCTGATGTTGTCGATCCATCTTGTTTTAGGTCTCTTATGGATGCTTTTTTAATCAAGTGGCAATGGAAATGGGCTGGTCACATAGCAAGAGCAACTGATGGCAGGCGGACTAAGGCAGTTATAGAATGGATTCCACTGGATAAAAAGTGGGCCATACTTTTATTTATTTATTAAATTAAAAACATATTTATTAAACATATATGCTATTCATCATCCCTATAAGGCAATTCTTGGCTATTTGCCTACCATATTTTTCGGAGTATAAGACACACACAGGAGTGTGAAAATCTAGGTGCGTCTTTTACACCGAATACAGCATTTTTGGCCTACCAAAATCCTGTGCCCTTTGCAAAAATGGATGTGCACAGGGTTTGGGGGGCTTGCAAAATGCTCCTGGGGGCTGGGGAGGGCAAAAGCGAGCAAAAAATGGGCCATTTTTGCTCATGTTTGCCCCCCCTGCAGCCCCCAGGAGCACCCTATAAGCCTCCCAAAGCTCTGCATGCCCCCCCTTTTTTTCAAAAAACAAGGCGTGCAGAGGGTTTGGAAGGCCTACAAAGTGTGAAAACGTTTTTTTATGTTGTTTTTTTTTGGCAAAAAAATGCATCAGTTTTGGCTCATTTTAGCCCCTCCCCAGCCCCAGGAGCACTCTAGGAACCTCCCAAAGCTCTGCACGCCCCCTCCTTTTTCCCCCCCAAAAAATAAGGCGTGCAGAGGGTTTGGAAGGCCTGCAGAGTGTGAAAACGTTTTTTTTAAAAATTACCTCTTCAAAACCATAGTGCCTCTTATACTCCGGTATGTCTTATAGTCTGAAAAATAACAGTATTTAATTTTGCATAATTTTCGGAGGTCGCAGAACTCTCTAAAACTGCTAAAACTGCTTCAAAGACAAAGGCCTCGCTTGACTGAAGTAGCCTCAGGTAGGCCTCAGAAGCCTGTCAACAAAAGAACACCGCCGCTTGAAAGGTAAACATCATATCCTGAGGCACACACTAACAAAACCAAGTTAGGTATTTTTCAAATCTGTGACACATTGAGGGCAAAAGATTTGCCATGACTGTACTAAGACTTGGTTGCCACAAGGTGGGCAGCATAGTCATCACCCTTTCAATAGAAATGAGATGCATAAACAAGAGACTCCAAGGTTGCTTGGGACTCTCAAAAGGTTTGGAATGACCTCCCCCAACTTCCAAAGTTGCTACCAAATGGCTTGACGGGGGAAATTATCAAATGTATTATATAAAACATATTAACATTCCAAAGGTGGTTTTTCAAGAGGCATCTGGATTTTCTGGTTTTTCTTTGAAGACGTTTCACTTCTCATCCAAGAAGCTTCTTCAGCTCTGACTGGATGGTGGGCAATGGAAAGATTTATATTCCTTGCAGACAGCTGGTCATTTGCAGTCTTTTAGAGGGTCATTGAGGCGACTTGGAGGTTCATCTGTGTCCTCAGGATCATCTGGATAATGCAAATGGGTGTGAAGCCTTGGAACTGTTTAAAGGACTGTGTTGTAAACTGGAGATAGATGATGTTGTATCCCTCCCCCTCTATTGAGAGAGGGCTGTTCAATTTTCTCTCAACAGAGTGGGAGGGATATGATGACAAAAATGGGATTTGTGAAAAAATACACATCTAATGCATGTATTCTCCAGCCTGAGGTGTACCTGAGAAACTCTGTGGATGAAATGTCTGCTCATATCTATTGTATAGATCAGTGGTCCCCAACCTTTGCAGCTTGGCGGCCCAGCAGAAGGGGGAAGAGGGCTGTGTGAGCAGCGGACAGGCGGACACTCAGCTCAACTTGTGTGAGCAGTGGGTCGCCACGCATGCAGTTCAACTTACGGAAGTCCAGTTCAGCTCGCACAAGATGCTCACGCATACGGGGCCCAGTTGCAAATAAGCCACAGCCCTGGGATAGGGGACCTTTGGTATAGATTGTTCACATGGTAATAATTTTGGCTCATTATTTAATTCCTCTTTATTCATCCCTGGTATTCTGAAAGAAGGCACAAATTACTTTATTAAAAATGATATACTGCCATATCTTTATCTTTAGTGCTTTCACCACTGATGAGAATAGTAGGAAGGAAAATCTGCTTCACCTACAAAATTGCAAACATACTGCAAAAAGTTCAAGTGTTCTCCTTCTCCAACCACAATCACTCCATATATATTCAATTATATCCACTGTTGCTCAAGACAGTAGGAATTAAGGGAGCCACATAACTTTCTTCTACCACATCTGGAAACCAAAATGATGGTGTGGCTGTTTCCCATCATCTACAAAAGGGGAAAGAGATTGAGGAAGATTCATGCACCCAGTCTCTTAGAAACAAAGCTTACAGTATTTGTGATTGATTATCTCCACATCCAATCACCTTAAGTTGCTTCACTTTTAGCTCTGAAATCGGCATGACTTCTGTTGTTTCTAGAAATTTCCCATGCAGCTGCAGATTTCTAACATTTAATGTGCATTAAATAATAATGTAACTTAAAACATCTGCCTTCTAGACGCTGTTCTGGGCTCTAAATCCCAGTGGGAAGGAACTCTTTTAATTATTTGAGGTCAAGTTAAATATTTTGCTTGCAAAACTTTTCAGCTTCCAGTTCATTCTCCACAACTTTATCATAACATCCTTCTTTAAGTGTAACTTTCTATACTCACTATACTCAAAATAACTTATCAGAATGTTTTGAATTGGATGTGTTCCAAATAAACAAAACTTGAAATACTCTCTCATGTGTTCCATGTGGAAGAAAATTTGAAACATTTCAAGTGTGTGTGGAACAGATAGAATGAAGAAAGCAAACCAGCTGTTCTGTTGTTTTTCAATCCAAATCTATATAGTAAAATCAAGACTTTGCCATCTTGATTACAGAATCAATAGAATTTTATGCAGAATTTTTTTCTATACAGAAAAAAATGTGAAAGAGATGATTATTATTTTTTAAATGAATATTTTTACATTTTCATAGGAGACAATTGAAGCAAAGCTTTAAACACACATTTTCCAGGCTGTTTGCATTCACAGAAATTCAGCAAAGAACTGTACGTGGAATTATTCACTTGAACAGAGCCCATGGACAGCAGCAAACAGAAAAAAACTTATTTAACTATTGGCTTCAAGCTGTTTTTCTCTTCCCAGTGCGGAATTATAGACACAATTCTGTACTTAACAATCTGGCACCAATACTCAACAAGCAGACAAAAGAATAATATTTTAGCACATCAACAAGATCAGGTATTCATTGCATTTTGCAAGTTACAAGCTAAACACTAGAATAGCATCATTAGCAACATTCATGCCCAGCACAGTCCATTGCACACATCAATCACAAGTTGTAATAGCTGGCTGGCAGCTAAGATCAGTTTTGAATAGTAATTGTTTTGCAGTGGTCATCCAAAATTGCAGATGTAACTCCTTACTTGCGTCAGGCAAGCGATTAGAACCTAGCAAGCATCTGTCTTTAAGCATATAGTTAAATAAGCAGTTATTTATCCCATTCACTCTTCTCATCCTATTCTTTGCCAACAGCAGTCTACATGCAACTAGCTCCTCTTGTTTTTCTGACTTTGCTGAGAAGGAAAACTAAGATCCAAGCTGATTGCGATTTACAAAACAAACCACAGGATTAAAAGTTCTCCTCGAAACAGCCCCATTTTTACCTCAAGCTAAGATCAGAAGCAGCATGTTTCGTTCCAAGTATAAGGTAAATGCTGTCAAACCATGAAATTCTGTTCCCAATTTGAAGCAACCATTTCAAGCTTGGAATCTCTTGCACATTTTAAAAAGCATGTATGAGCTGGCAGATGGTGAGCATCTCACTCATGACTTCCCATATTCCTCAGTAATAGACACTGAAACCCCAGGAAGGCTATTCTGATTAATGTTCCAAGTAATGGTGGCTGCATGATTACAGCTATAATTCAGAATGACACACATTCCCTTCTATGATATAGGTTCCCACCTGACAGCTTTTTATCAAAAGTGTGAAAACATAAATCAAAATGGAGCGACAATGAATGGTTACAAAGCCTTGAAGATCTTCTCACCCATTCTTTGCCTGGAGGCTTTTTTGCTGTCTCAAAGAGAAGCTCAGCTCACCACTTGTTATATGTTCATTTTCCTTTAACCCCTTTCATTGTCTATCCCCTTCTTTATTCCTCAACACTCACCACCACCAGCTGAAACCCCTCAGGCTCTTCCACAGAGCCAATGACTGATAGGTTGACTTAGCAATAGCAATAGCCAACAGCACTCAGACTTATGTACTGCTTCACTGTGCTTTACAGCCCTCTCTAAGTGGTTTACAGATACAGGTCTGCATACTGCCCTCAACAATCTGGGTCCTCATTTCACCAACCTTGGAAGGATGGAAGGCTGAGTCAACCTTGAGCCGGTCAGAATTGAACTCCTGGCAGTTGGCAGAATTAGCCTGCAATACTGCATTCAAACTCCTGCGCCACCACACAATTAGCAACTAACTCAATTCACTTTATAGATAACATTTTCTTTCATTTCACAACCAATCAGAAAGCTCAATTTCTCCCATACATGACATAAGCAGAAACTTCACACTGAGTTTTAATTCTTTTTATTATATATAAATACGTAATTCGGCAGAGGGGTGGCAAATGTACCCGTCCCCCCCTTCTCACTGTTGTTTCCCATCTCCTTTCTTCTCTCCTGGTTCTATCTTCAAGGTTTGGGGAGCCTGGCGATAGGCAGGGAAAGCCTCCCAAGGACTGTTCAGGTCAAATTTGCGGAACTCCTGAGACAATTCCAGTGGCTCTGCGACCACTCGCTTCACCTCATCATCATACCTGACCTAATAATGGAGAAATAATGTTAAAATGAAAGGAGGGCTAGACTATCAAAGGTGGCTATAAGAGGCATTTTGATTTTTTGCAAGTCATTTTTCCCCTTGATATTTACAAGTGGATTGTTATTCAATACTAAAATGTCATCTTTGCCAATAAAATCTCCCTTGTCGCTATCTTTTTGGGATGCTACTCCTCATGTTCATGCCCGGTCCTCGGCTTCACATCCCCACCAATGAATGAATTCTCATTTGTAGGCTCAATCTAGAAGTGGAGTATGACTAGCATTTGTGGAAGCCCATAGCAGATCTGGCTGTTTGTTCTGAAACTATTTCCTAATTGGCAAACCGCAACTGTATACTTTCAGTAGCTACCAGCTACCAGATAACAATGACAGAAGAAGACTTATCATCCCCTTTGTATATCTATGAGCTTCCTGAATGTATCTGGGTGGCCTCTGCAATGCAGGACCAGATGGGCTCTGCTTTGCTTATGTTTGTTATTATGAGGTATTGTAGAGGAGACCAGCAGGTCAGTGCACTGTTCAGGAAGATGAAGGAAGCTGGTTTGCTCAAAGCCGCTTTGGGAAATTATTTCATCCTTGCATTTTAAACCCTAAATTTGCCTGCAAAATATTAGTTATGCGGGTGACGACAGATTCTCTATATGGGGATGGCCATTTTCTCCTCAGATCCAGTTTGCTGGTTCTGCTTTCGAATGGAGAATCGGTGAGGGAAGAGGGAATCTCTGGTGGTGCAAATATTGTTGCTACCATTCAGCCGCCTCCAACCCAGATGGACAGTGAGGGATGACAGTTTTCCCACTCCTGAATTAGCCCGTTCTTACTTGCTCTCCTGTCTACCTCACAACAGAATTCCATGGGAAGCCCAGTTTTTAATTCTTCAGCATTAAAAAAAGTCACATTATGGATGTGTGAAATGACTTCGTACATCATTGTCTTATTCATACCTCCACATATCCAGAAAGGGGAAAATCTTTCCTGAAAGGATGGCCTTCAAAACCGTAATCTGTAAGGATTCGCCTCAGATCTGGATGGTTGGCAAAGAATACTCCAAACATATCCCATACCTAGAAAAACAGAAATCAGGTAAGTGAACAGCTCAGTATGTTGACTTTACAAATGCTAGCTGATTAGTCTGATTTCTCTGATTTGGATTATGATTTCCCAAACATGAAATATTAGCTATTAATTGCTAGGAATGTAGGCAGCTGATAGAAACAACTGGAACTTAAATTAACAAATGCTTGAGATTTACAAAAGTACCAGTTGTTTTATTTATTTATTAAATTTATATAGCTGTCCCATCTCACCAGAAGTTACTCTGAGCAGCATCCAACAGAACCACTGATTCACCATTTGTCGAAGTAAATCATCAGGGGTGAGCACAAAATGGGGAAAACATTTTGTTTGGAAACTGGAACAAACTAGATCATCCAGTTTGGCAAAAATAATATTCCAGAAAATACATTACCTGTTATAGGTTTCAGATGAAACAAAATCTAGATGGCTTGCATGGGCCACGGCTGGTGGGTGCCACTCTGCAACTCCTGACACAGTATATTCCACTCACCTGTCTCACTCACTCCCATCTTCCCAGCAGCTTGTATGTCTTCTTTGCCCTCAATTGATGCTGCCAGGATCCCAGCATGGTGTGCCCTACCAGCCTACTTTCCCATTTTCCTTCTTTTCTCTGAGACACTGATGTCCTTCATTTTTCCCTCTTATGCTAATATTTCTGCCTGGAACAGAGTACCCCCATTTCATTCCATTTGTATAAATAGGCCACCCCAAACCAGCTATTCCATGTACCACATTGTTTGCCCATGGAACAATTTGTGCATTTCATTATAGAAAGCCAGGTTAGTATAGTAGTAAAGATGCTGGCCTAAAAAAAAGGCACGAAAGCCTTTAAACTAGGACAATCCACCTTATAGCACTGTGGGGAAAATAGGAAGCCGGATTATAAAGAACTGCCTTAAATTCACTGCCTTAAGTTATATATAAAATAAGGTGGGGGGGGGGGAATATACTAATCCATTTAAATCACCCTGTTAGCAATATTAGCAAAATAGTGTGCAAACAATGAAAGCAAAAATAGTTCTGCTTTCAACAAAGTATCTGTAAAATGGAAAGATGACATCTCCAATATAAAATTTGGTAATTTACAAGCAGAATCTCTATTAGCAAAGAACCAAGCCTAAATACAAATGACAGATAACTTTATTTGTTGAGCAGCAACTGGATCAACTTGATGAAAATCGAAATTCAAAATGGATCTGTATTTCATTAAAAGGAATTATTCCATGCTGATATATTAAAGAATTCTAAAAGTTAGTTGTATATATAAAAAGCGGGCCATTTCAAAATGGTAGTGCTAGTCGTAACTTATAAAGCCCTTCATGGTATTGGACCTGGGTACTTGAGGGACTGCCTGCTGCCAATTACCTCCCAAAGTCCCGTTAGATCCCACAGGGTCGGCCTCCTCCG